TGCGGAAAGCGTATTTCAAATCCTTTGTAAAAGGCGAAAAAATTACATGCTTGATATCTTCAAAGAACTTTTCTAGTTTCATTCAGAGGTATATAGAAATTAAATATTTCAAATGAAATGTATATGAGCTGATATAATGAAGTTGTAGAAAATTGTATTCAAAGAAATTAATGATACAAAAAATTATATACTTCATTTAAATGCTATATTGCAAATACAATTTTTAAACTCGAAACTCAAAATATAAGCTCATTTTCAGATTATTCATACTATTTTCATTATATTCACATAATAGCATATATTTATTATAAAATAACATTGTAAATTACTGCGAATAATGAAAAACGATATAACCGCAAAATATTAGAGTGATTGATACATTATTCAACATATGAGATGGATTTACAACGTTCATCAAATTATAATCGACTAGTCATCAGTTAATATCAGTGTGAATAACATTGCATGATTATATTTAATAATTTATATGCAATATTTATTGGGATTTAAAACCAAAAACTGCGGAAAAAGTAAATAAAAAAAAATTATCAGTAAAATAGATACTAAATTACTTTAAATAGTACAAATATAGTATTTTGATCATGTATTATTGAGCATTTTTTACGGATTTTTTTAATCAAGAATATGTCATAATTTGGTGAAGTCGTTAATAACAGAGTTGATATTTCTCATATAAGTTTATGATTATTATTTTTTAAGAAAAACCTACAAATTTCCGAAGCTCTTCTACATAAAGTCAGAATAATAATAATAAAAATCGAATAAAGAAAAATACTGTAGCTAAAGTACAGAGTGATTGATGCGAAGACAAATATTTATCCAACAAATCAATCACAATCCATTACCCCATTACGCAAATATCAAAATACCAAAAAATCTGCGCCAATAAATGCAAATCACTCATGATGTGACGTATCATTTTGCTAATTGAATCCATTCACATACATATTTTAATCAGAACGTAATCAGATCCTGATCGATCATATGCTCGTTAAGTCAAAAGCTAAAATTCGTATGTATATGTCCATGAAGATCTATTAATCTCAATTTATGGCAAGCTCAAAGCTTCTCAGAGAAAACTTTTCTCATCACGCACTGAGTAGCATTGAATGGTTATGGTTATGTTCACATAATAGAGATGTCAAATCTTAATACAAGACACATTGTAAATTTATAATTACTTCGAAATTGAATGGAACAGTTCTGACCGATATTAAACAATTTCAACAAAATGAAGATACTTGCATCTTCGCAGTACGTAATTAGTATTTATTGTAAATATATTCATACAATTGAACGAATAGATTCATATCTTATAATATGCATCACTTTTCTCTTTCATCATACTAGGTGAAGGCGGCATTTCACCTTGAGGAAAATTACATCAAACTAACCAATGCAAGAACTAATCGAATTACAGCAAATGGTTTCAAAATTGGTTCAATATTTATATACATATAGTACATCAAAATTGTCTATGAAAATCTTTATTGATAATCTAGTTTTGGCAATTAAAAAATGAAAAGATTCAATTTAAAAAAATTAAAGATAAAGTATTTACATCCTTTGAGTTCTCTTGGAATAAATCGTCAATAAACCAAAACTTCACGTTACGATTTGAAAACTGATTATATTAATTTAAGTTATTAATCACAATAGCTAATTTTTAATTAACACGTTAACAATAAAAGTAATAACAATAAATCACGTCCGCGAAGGTGTTAATTCACGTAATTTCAAACAATAATTTCTTAAGCAAAGCATATATGCAGATTCATGTCAAAACACAAACTTGGTATAATCGATTTTGGTACTTGATTAATGTAATTTAAGTACGATTTGTAACATTTGCAGGTTATTTTTGGCAGTTGAAAGTATCAAAAATATAAACAAAAACTATCGACTCAACACCATAAGTATAAAAAGGGAAAGTATATGTCAGCATTACAGTATGGATAAATGTACGGCTTCATATAAATATCATGAATTTGAAATTAGGGAATGGATTCTACTGACGAGCAACTAATTTTTGAAAGATTTATCATGAAATCGAAGGCAAGTAGTTTGAATGAAGAAAAAGAGACTCTACTGACGAACAAACTGGTTTTCCAGCAAAAACTCCTTATAAATTTCAACAAAAGTCATGTGAACTAAGCAAAAGGACTCCACTAACGAGCATTGAACTGTAATCATTGTTCTAATAACATGATTTTGAATATGTGCTGGACCACTTTTCCACGTCTCAACTGATTATTAGAATAAGTTTCATCTTTTCATCTTTTCATCTAGTAAATGTAAATATCGATTCTGTTCTACATCCCTAAATTGTCATAAATGTTTGGTTCTCGGAATAATTCCCAATGCCCGGCTGATGATTGCGTGCGTGCTGCACTGACTCATCAAAAGCGCTTAGTTTCACATGTTCGAATGGGAATCGATAAACAAGAGACCTCAGCCAGACGGATGAATAGATATATCTCAGTCAGTATTAGAATTGCTTTCGGATGCTGTGTGTAACTAAGAAACATGTGATAATTATAACAGACCGGCATTGTGAACGGTCGATACAATGTGAATAATTAATAGGAAGACTGGGTAATACTAGAGCAAATAGTTGGTAGATAAACGATTATTGATATAAAAGGAATAGAAATAGTACCTAATAAAAATATATTTAATTAATTAACTAGTGCTCTGCCCGAAGGAAGATCCATGGCGTGAGAACACCATATACCATCAAATCTCTTTCCTTTTTTGTCATCTAATAAGCAGCCTACGAAACTTCTCTAGTTGTGTGAAAAAAATACATGAATACGTAGTCGTGCCAATAATTTCTTGCGGCAAGTGCCTAATATTTCATAAAATATTTTATTATGTTTATTCAAAAAATGCTTCGGCGTATGAAATTGAACATACGATAAAGGTAATTTACAAATAGATGAAAGTGATCCATTTTTTTAAAAATATAATCAGTTTTTGGACATAAATATTAAATACCATCTAATAAAATTTTTGTAAAAATAGTAAAATAATAAAATATTTTTTAGATACATATCTCTTTGTGCATATTTTTTTAAAATAAACTGTGAAATTTAAAGAGTATCAGTATGAATTACACAATTTCAAAATTTGTGATCATATGAGAAACTCGCCTATTAATTATAACTATGCAATCAATGTAATCTTATTTAATAGCTATTAAATTATAACAAGCGTTATCAAACCAGACTGTCTCATTATTAGTTTCACATGTTTGAGAATCGATAGACAAGAGGCCTCAGGCAGACGCATGCTTGAGTGAAGAGAATTACTATACTAACAGAATATCTTGTATAGTTTGGTTAAAATCAAGAAATATAATCCAATTTATTTTTATATGACAAAACCAATATATGAAAATACCAGGTAAATGTAATATAACTTGATTGAACAAATTCGCTGAGCTAACTGACTCTAAATAACTAACTCTGATAAGGTCTAAAAATTCTTAAATTACTTAATTTGATTATATTCTACCTATTTTGAGAATGTTATTTTTTATTGTAAAATATTTGTTTTAGTGAAAATTATATTTATTAACATTTTATGAAAAACTTATAGTTTCATTCGTGTTAATTTTATTAACAAAATTATATTTAAAATTAAAAATTGCATCGCCTTAGCCCTTCAAATAATAAAAAAGAAAAAAATCTTATTTCTACCATCCATATTCAACCAAGTCTAGGCCACTACTTACCGCTATAAGATTTTTCAGTGCTATCAATAGAGCTTTATTTCTCACTGAAACTGATAAATATAATTCGAATCTGAGCCAAAATATAGGAAACTAGTAGGCAATTAAAAGAAACACTATACTTCTTATATCATTAAACATTTCAACGTATGTCGTCGTAGTAGGCAATCGAGCCGAGTGGTCGTAAATGAAAATTTTATAGCAGCAACTAACGATAGTGGACAGCCAAAAGTGATATTTTTGGACAAATTCGTTGCACAACATATTTCAGCTTAATCCATTATAGAATTTAATTATTTACTCATGTCATACCGTCAATATAAATTTATTTATGAGAGTTACGTATTGTATGTATTACCTCACGCATAAATTATAAAATTATATAACAAAAACCATGAATAAACGGTTAGTGCTAATAAAAAAATCATATATTGAGCACAGAAAATAGTAATTGCGACACTAAATATTTTTGATAGCTACCTTGTTATTTCAAAATAAATTAAATACTTTATTACTATATTCTTTTGTTTATGAAGCGTTCATAACTACTATTGTAAAGTCTTCTTGTGAATGTTATTCATAGACCTTATACTACAAGTAGTGTAAGGTCTATAATGATACTTTTCAATTATGATACTGAAAATATTTGAAAAGAATTATTTACTAGAATCTCTTGTAAACATCAAATCATCTTGAAAATGCTTCAAGAAGAATTAGAAGGAAATTGAAAATATTTGTATTTTTAAAGTTGATTAAACTTTATTTGCTCACTGAATTAGCTATGCAGAAGCTTTCATTCTATGTATTAATACGTTCTAAAAAAATCACGTATGTTGTAAAATTGCTTCCACCAACTTACACCATAATTTTTCTGCCGATCTCAACAGAATTTCGCATTTTCATGCAACAATATAGCGCAAAGTCTATATATCTTCATCCGTTGTTGAAGAACCAAATGATTAATCTTGCTATCTTAATTTACTAATTGACAGACTCCGTCTCTATTAAAATCCATTTCTGTAATGCATATATAGTAAAATTGCTTCCAACAACTTACACCTATATTCCTTATTTTCTGCAGATCTCAACAGAAATTCACATTTGCATTCAATACAGCGCGCAAATGTTTATCTATATCGCGTTGTTAAAGAACCAAATACGACGTAGCACATAAATATAAGACTTGACATATGGGCAGCTACACTTGATGTATTGAGACTTGAAATAATATATGAATTTCACTTACTTGTTGTATATCCGAATTCGTCTTCCTTTTCTTGGTCGGCTTCAATTTCCTCTTTTGTTCGCTTCACGTTGGCCGCGCTCGCCCGATCGATCTGAAAGTAGAAAATGAAACATATCATATGCAACGATACTAATGACTTTGGTTCTAATACTAGCAATAAAAATAATCAAGTTAAAGAATTCTGAAAACAATCGAACGATTTGTCGGCGACTTCTTAAAAATCGAAACCAATTTCTAAAAAGATAAAATGTTTTTATCGCTTTTCCTTCCTGGTAACTTGCAATATTATGTCAGATCATTTACTGTGTCCTTTATTTTATGTAGAGTATTTCTATTATATTTGACTAACCTCATTTCCAGCAGCACTGCATGTTCGGCCGCTTAACATAGTCTCATCAATATCATCGCCCTCTTCGTCCGTCAGCGTATCCTCGGAGTCCTGGCGAGAGGATCTCTCCGAAGATGTTCGCGAAACACCAGACACCTCCAGAAATTTTTTTTCGGCTGAGAAAATAAGGGTAAGTGTTCAGCTGTTATTAATGATTATGTGGAAACATAGACCTAGTTCGTAATATTAGGTGTCATTTCGTAAAATAAAGTGTCTGTGTATGAGATTGCAATGTGATGTAAATTTTAAATTGAAAGTGTATTTTTTTACATTTTAAAAAAAATTAGAAAAATATGAATTTTTCTCCTAAATAAATATGCACGTGATGTTGGGAGAGTGAGGTTAATTTTAAATATCACCACGTATCACGAAGAGGGAGGGGAGCGAAAAATCTATAAAAAAATCGGTCACGTGATTAATGGACGCCCCATAATAGTAATTTGTATCAATGATTTATCATTATGCTTTCTGTGTCCTTATTAATTATTCTCCCACATCTAGCACGTAAGATTGTATATTATCATTTAAATCATTTTTAAGGTCAATTCTTTGGTAAAATAGACGTTAACATAGCGTTGTTATAGCAACGTGTGCTATACTTGTTTGTTGGTACTAAACACTGTAAAAACGCTATCTATTTGCTATGTAATCAGGCAAATATTAAATACGAAACAACATAGAAAATCCACAAACTTAAAAAAAAGAATGTCGCCATAACTGCATCTTCGTAAAGCGCATTTATATCATACTGTTTTATGTGCAATCGGACAAATAAATACCATCTTAACAGTTTTCAGTACCAAGAAATAAGTACAAAATAGCGTTACCATAACAACGCGATTTAATCATCTATTGGCCCTCATACGAGAAAGCATGCAACAAATTAAATGACTCACCAGACTTAATACTTTCATTATCTCTTTCAATCTTATCTTCAACTAAAGTTGAAGAATCTTCTTCAAGAGATGGTTCTCTTATCACAGGTATTGAAATTGAAGGCGATCTCGATACTTTTCCGGCTTCTTTGGGTTCGTTAAAATCAGTCTGTGAAAATAATAATTTTATTTATGGTTAAAGCTCAATTTATTCAATTTTTTTATACTGATATCTATGAAATCAAAATAAATAAATGCATTACCAAATATTAAATATTGTATGGTGTTATGTTTATCAATGAAAGTCATTTATATTCGTTTGAATAAGTTATTTTCTTATGGTAGTGTGCAGACTTTGCATACGTCAAATATAATCAAGCATATGCGATTATAATAAAATATCCAGCCGAAGAATATCAAAATTGCATAAATGTTAAAATATGCATGAGGCCATAAATAAAGAAGTACGGCCTGCAATACAATATATCTTCATTTCTAGATAAATGATGATATATTTGATACTGTAAGTATTCTAGGCACGTCTGGAACTTTTCACGGGACTTAAGTAACCTAAATGGTTTTCAGTTTCTCTTCTATCAGAACGAACATAGGGGGCTTTAGCACCTATTACATATTGTATATCCCGTTACTTCGAAATAGCTTAAGATCGTAGTTATTCTGTACACGGTATTACTTTCACGAAATAAGGGGTTTAAGTTATACCGGTGATGGGTGGAAAATAGGTGAAGTAAATGTGGAATTAGAGTTGCATGTTTATCCATCTCATAGTTGGTGTCTATTACGCTAAACACCAAATTTACTGAAATTAATTTATGAATATTAAGTATTGAGATAAATTATCGAATTATCGAAATAATACAGAACTAATAGTTTATTTTTTATATAAATTAATTACTTACAGGTGTTGCAGACCCAGTTCTAAACGGCGATTGAGGAATTAATTTTGCTCCCTCAGGTTGCAGCAAATCAGTACTCGGCGATGGTGTCTAAAATTATTTGAAAAATTATTAGATATTACATATATTATAAATGTTTGAAAATTGCATTTGCTTACCATATTAAGAAGCGACTGCACAACAAATTTAACAGGACTTTCAGCGCCTCTTATAACTTCCACTGCTTTTTCATGACTAGCATTTCGTAAATCTACTCCATCGACTTCCAAAATACGGTCTCCTGTCTAAAAATAAAAAATTAATTGACAGATTTATAAAAATGTGAAAAGTATATAAATGTGATAAATATATAAAAATTGTTAAAGTTAAAAAATTGTTAAAATAAAGTTGTTAAGTATTGGTAATAAAAAATAATAGATTTCCGCTTACCTGAAATCCGCCCGTTTTCTCCGCAGGGCTTTTCGGTGATACGTTTTTGACGAAGATTCCAACAATGTCCCGTTTTCCTTCCTCATCTGTCAAATCAGCCTGGAATGACGAAAAACCTTAATATTATGCTGCAATATTTCATGTGTGAATTTTTTGTGTTATTATAAACAAACCTTTCCGCCTACTATGCTAATTCCCAGACCTTCCTGACCGAATTCACGGGGTACGCAGACGATACGCTCGGGACCCCATTGGCCCTGCATAGAAGCGGATCTGCTGAGAGCGTTTTTGGGACGGTTTCCATTGGAATTTTTTATCTCAGCACTTTCTTGTGTGTCGGCAGTTACTGTCATATCTATCGTTGGACCGTAACTGAAAAAAAAATAGAACTAAGTATTATATAATTCACATCTCATTATTTATAGTTAATCATATTATTATTGTTGTTTTCAGCAAACAGAACTTATGGTCCTCTTAGCTCTTGTGCTGACTTTTTAAACAAAGTGATTTTTTATAGATGACAACCCAATCTCTATGTCAAGAAATTATTTATATAATTTCTGTAAAAATGATGATTTTTTATTAATGCAGCAATGCCTAGTAAGAGCTTAATTTAATTTTACTTGGAATTTTAAATCTGTAAATATTTGCAAGTGAAAACCTCAAGCTACTACTGCTTGACATGAGGCTGTCTAAAGCAGGAATCAAACATGAAACTTCTATTATTCAAATTCCATAACTACAAATCTGTGGAAAAACCCTTTACTACGTATGGTACTACATCTCTACATTTCTTAGATTCTTTAGCTAACAAAAATCATATATTTAATATAATGATCGAAATTTATAGTAGTTTCTTTCTCATATGCTAGTTATCATTAGATCTCATATACTTATTATTATTAAACTTATGCTTTGGTGATAAAATGCGAATATTTGTAATCCAATATCCCAAATATGAGAATTTACAACTGACTAACTAAAAAAAACTAACTGACAAAAAATGACCATAGTCATAGATAAAAAAGTAGAAATAAGTATGTCGAAATTGTAGATCAATTTTAAAATTCTCATGTTTGTGTATATGTGTTTTATGTAATAAATACGAAATATTTTCTTGTAACATACATTATAAAAATACGGTTTACTAAAAATTAAAATTTATGTAGACAGAACAAAAAAAATCACTGAAAAGGTTAGACGCATTTTTTTAAATGTAGGTAGTATTATAATTTGACCAAACTCGTGCTGGAAACAATAAAATTTAAAATAATATTCTATCTTCCCACCATTCAACATGAAATACCAAGCTGCACAGACACTATAATGTTTTCATATATTGCATTGTATCGCTAAGCCCGAACTAAATAGGTTCTGTAATGTGAAAACTAGGTTTAGGAATATCGTACATTTTATGGGTAATACTAAAATGTTACTACTTTAGCTGCAACGGCAAATAAAGATATTTCGTTCTGCTACTTGAATCTATATTTTGCCATTTTCATTACGTTCCATGTATAAGATAGTAGAAAGCAGAAAAACACGTTCTTGTTAATTATGTTTTTCATCGTACCTTGCGCAGCTTGGTAATTAGAAACTTCATGAAATATAAAAATTCTTAATTGAATAATGTAGTACTACAAAAATATGAATAGGTAAATCGTATTTGTTACTGCTTTTTACAGAATATATTTCTGTCAAAATATTCAATTTTACAGAATAAATAATACTGGTTGATCGGTCAGTTCTAAATATTTTAACATGAAATTTGTATTTTAATTCTTCATTTTTTTTATCTTTTTTTTCCTATAACAAGAACTCGTAGCAATTTTTATAAAGTCACAATGCTATATTGCATTAATTTTTTAATTTATTTTTTATTCTTTTTACTATGTGAATATTGAAATATGTGGGCTAATTAATAAATTAATTTTAAATCTTCTGCTCGCAATCAAAGACTTTAATTTTCCTGCATAATAGTACTTCACAAATGAAAATTTTATTACGTTTGGTCGACTGAGTTTTCATTAGATCAAAATACAGCTTTTGTATACATGTTAAATTTATGTTAAGAGAAAAAATAATTTTCAACTATAAAATAATATATGTATATATGATTTTATTCAACTAGATAACTGAAAAGCAATAAATTAAGGCAATGGCATCACATCAATTTGCTTTAATTTGTTTTTAAACATATTAAATAATAAAAGTTTACGAAAAAAAAATTCACAATTAGTTAAAACTATAGTTGAATTGTATGGATTTTAATATACTTATTAATAGTTGAGTGGGGCTTGAAAAGGTAAGAAAGTCCAAAAGTGCTGATGATTTTTCGGTAAATACCAGATCAAAGTTATATACACTATTATCTTTAGTAGCTATAATTTAGTAAAAAATTTTCAAAATTAAAAATAAAACATCGAACCTGTTGATCCCCTGACAGTCCCATTTTACTTCGCTTATGGGGTAAAAAAGATCAGATAACAATTTTTTGAAAAACAACAAAATTAACACATTTCTACAATGACTAATTAGTTAACAGTTTTACAGAATACAGTCAGATAGATGTTAGTTTAATATATTCTATTTATTGTGTTATAATTGATTTGGTTTTCACAGTAAAATTGCTCAAAGTCAAATTGGACCTTTGTGCCCCACCCTGCCCTACATGGGTGCACACACATATATATGTATCTATATGTGTGTGTGAGTATGTGCATATACGTAAAAAGTTCTATGGTAAAAGCAATTGAAAATTTCTACCGCACATCATCAAAAGCTCTGGAAAACAACAAACTATGGACATGATGCCACTGCCGGCAAATGTGCGAATATTGTATGATATGCTATTTTGATCGACGCCGCATCTGACCTACATATCGGATGTTGATAAATGATTTATGATTTCGTCAGACTACTTCAAAGTGATATAAATAGACACACTGACATGGAGAGAAGGTACTATTGCGTTCGAATTGGATTACAGTCTAATCTTCCTCCCCTAACACATCCGAGCTTTTCTTTCACAAGAGCGGATGCGTCGTATTCGACATGTCACAAGGAAATTATAGGACAGGGGATTTCCTAAAGAATTCCCTCTGTCACCGGTACAAGGATATGTGAATTCATTAAAGGATTGAAAAAGTTACTAGAATCTGAGGAAATAAATTTGAAAAAAAGACGTTTTAGAATAGAGGTTTGTAATCTTTTACAATTTGTTCAAGATAAAAATAATTTTATTATAAATAAATAATTATAATGAACTTGAACACTTAAGTGCAAAAATGTTTAAAATCACTGTAAAAAGCATGCCTACTAGCCCAGTAGTCAAGCATATATCAACTATCACCTCCAATTTTAACAAAAAATAGCGAAATGTAACATGAAGCATTTTTTTTGTTTCAGAAAATTTTATATAAAATTATCATTATTATTTTTTATTTAAAATAGCTGTAACATATTTTCTTGGCTCAAAATAAATAAGAATATTTTTTATATTTTTTTCTCAGAGACAAATGCCTTCAACTTCAAATGGTCTAATCTAAATATATGAATTATTATACAATTTTAGTAGATAATTTATTTATCATTTGTATAGTTAGTTATTACATATTGTGCGCACATATACGGTTCTCTCAGGTAGATTCTAGTTCGCATAAATTCATATTCTATTGTGTAGAAATTGCGGTTGCATATGCGACTTATGACAGTTGAATGCCAATTGTAATTCAAACAACCGCTGAATTCACATCAAAATCTGTACAGGTAATTTGCCTTTGTAGAATGATTATAATCTTTTGGGTAGTCTGACAATTTACTAAGAAAATCTCTATAATAAGATAATAAAATTACCAACTTGATGTACGAAGTATATTATATATTTTACTAATGATTATTTTAAGTATCAAAGAATACATTACAAAAAATGAATTAAAATACGACAATTCAAAAAGTTTGGGTTGAAATTAAGTAAAATAAATAACGTTTTTGTAAGATGTTAGAAAATCCATATTAAATTAAACTTTTTTTGTATAACGTTATACACAAAAGAGTAATATAAATAAAATATATCATTTTGAATTATTAAACCAACGTTATTTCATTCTTTTACAAACATTTTAAACCACTATTAAATTTAAAACGTTCTCAAACCGATTATTTTCTTATAATGGCGAAAAGTTTAAAATAGAAATTAAAAAAAATGAAACTTCAATAAGTTTACTATAAAATTGTTTATCTAACTATATATAAGATGGAAACTTTAAACAAACTATTGTTGAGATAAAAATTATGTTTAATAAAGTGTTTTTCATTCCTTAAGCTATTCATTATTAAAATTAAAAATCACAAAATTTCAATAAGTCTACTATGAAATCAGTTATCTAACTATATATAAAACGTGAACTATGTGCAAACTATTGCTGCGATAAAAATTATGTAGAATAAAGTGATTAGTGACTAGATTTATACAAAATCTAGTTATTAATAAATAAGTTTAAAATGATGAATAAAATAAGTTTTAAGTGATTTGAATACTTATTGTATTCTATGTTTTCGATAATAACCAAAACTATTTACAAGAAAAATGTTTATTTTAATATTTAATTATTTTAGTAAATAATTTTGAAAAACTGTATCAAATAATGTGCAATTTTTCTATTTTGTAAATAGCAGAATTTATTTATATATTTATTCCAAAAATTTTAATATATTTTCTCCAAATTATTAATGTGTATTTGTAAAACTATTTCCTTCGGCTTGATTATAAATCAGTCATTACATGAACAAAAATGGAAAAAAATAAGAATATTATTTTTTTTATTACAAATTTCTTTTTTTTTCAATTATCAGAATGAAACAGAACCGTCGAAATAATACATCTGAATAGTTCAGATGCAGCCCGAATAAAATAAAATATGACAAGTATATTTATAGTGAAATTGCAATATGATGCATCCTTTCCTCTCGGATGCCGCTCCGAAAACAAAATATGTTTATGCAATTTGCGATTGGAAAGGGGTAATAGAGATAATAGTAATATAGGATTCAAAAACCTTTAAATTTGGTCAAAACAATTACGCAATACAAGTAACAACATCGCTCTTCAATAAATGTTACCTATTTTTGGATCTTATCTGATTGTATGTACCTCTTTGTTGATATGTACTTTCTTATAAAGAAGTTATTTACATTTGTGGTAATATGTTAAGAAATTTAGGAAAACAACATTTTTTACTTTTTCTGAAAAAACTTAACTATGCAAGCAATCTAATATTGGTTTTAGCAAAAGAAATAAAAAAATGTTTCGTAACTTTTCTTAGTATATCTGAACATCTGTGATACAAGTTATGCCAAATGCATCACTTTTT